ATATTAATTATGCACGTAATATGCTATGTACGATTAATTTGACATACTAGCAATGCAAAGAGTTATAGTACTTGCATTAATATCACTTTTTCATATCCTTTCCATTGTATATGGTAAATTATATGTTTGTAAATAAATATTTTTAAAAAATAAATAAAATAAATTAGATAATGTAAATGTTATTTTTGATATATTAAATTAAACACTTCAAAAGAAATAATTCTGACTAGTATAATTAATTCAAACATTTACCAGTTTTACTAATACCACCTATCCATCAGCATCAATAAGACTATCACCAAATGGTGTTGGATATTTTAACGTCATGACCTAAAAAAATAAAATAAATGCTCGAATAGAAATTTTCTTTCATTGAAATTTTTATTTGAAATTTTTTCGAACGAGTGGAGAATAAGTGATTATAAGCTCTATTTAAAATACTTGATATGTAGTTAGCTTAAAAATATGTGCTTTAAAATATAAATTCGACTTAATTATGAAAAAATTCATAATAATTTAATTGATTAACTAAACTTTAATTTTTATTCTCTTTTAAGTGTTGGATTTATTTCTTATTTTGTTAATTTCTATTCCATTTCTTCTCTCTCCGCTATTTATACTCCATATTTATGTATTTATATTAATAATATTATAGAAGAGTGAGTTCACTTTGTTCTTTATTTTTAGGTGATATTTTGTCATTTTATGATTGGTTGTTAGTATTTTTTATGCTTGGTAATATTTTTTATTTTTAGGTGATATTTTCTCATTTTATGATTAGTATTTAGTATTGTTTTGTGTTTATTCCACATGCATAATAATATTAGGATATCTACAAAATTATTTATGGTCCATACATTCTACATGGTTCTATTCTTTCGTATAATTTGTTATAATTTTTTTCACTCTTTATAAGTACATTAATTTTTAATACTTTTACTAATTTACTTTATATATTTTTAAATATTTTTTCTTTTATTTTTACTTATCATACTTTAATTTGACACATTTATTAAAAAAAATATAATAAGCATGACTATTTAATTACCACACTATTTCTAATAGTTGGTGTTTACTATTAAGTCTTGAAAATTTGAGAAATAAATAATTAATATTTAGTATGAAACACGAAAAAACTATCTTTCTTCATATTAACTATCGAAATTTGGACCCTTCCTAAAAGATCGAGCACTCATCAAGTCGTTGGTCTAAACTCAAAATTATAAAACTATAGCTAATCCTACTTGAATCAATTAAATTATAATTTAACGAATATTATTTAAATTAACTAATTATAATTATTTTTATTACTAATTTCCATAGGCCTGTGTTTGCATGGGCTTGCCATCCTCTAGTAATATATATATATATATAGTTTGTATTAAGAAAAAATCGTTATTTTAAAAAAAAATTAAATAGCAAAGTGAAATAGTATCCCAGGATTCTAACGTAGGCCATGCAAACAATTTTTTTTTACCACGTCACCTTCTATGGTTAGCATGACCTTCATCTATCGACATGAAGAAATGAATTAATGAACTTGAGAATATTTTTCGTTTTAATTCGGTTCAGTGAAAATATAATAGATTTTGATAAAAGAATAAGATAATTAGTGGCGGAGTCAAAATATTTAATAAGGAATTTAAAATATGAAAAGTAGACATACGAACTTGTGGAAGAGGGTTAGACATACCTAAAAACTAATTTTAATCACGTATAAATATTAATATTTTTCGCCGAGGGGGGTCGGATGAATCCCCTAATTAAGTATATGTTGCCTCCGCCTCTGAAGATAATATACTTTCGTAAGACCCTTATACGAATATATGCATGTCCCATTAATATTATAAATTAATAATTCTTTAAATTAAAATTACAAAAATATTTAATACAATTTAGTAAAACATGATTCTATTGTTTCAATCTTTTTTCTAAGAAATTTAGATCGGGTCAAAATTGATCTCTAACTCTTTCTATTGCATTTAAAAGTTCTAGTATTGTCTTTTTGAATTTCAAAAAAAAAACATTGAAAATTTCTTAATGTGATATGTTTCTTTATGGGTAATCGATTTCAAAGATATTGTATTATCTCCACAAATCATAATCTTTTATATTGAGAGATAAAATAAATTGCTTTTCATATACACTAAATTTAAAATAAAAAAGTAAATTAATAAAATAATAAAAATAGAAAAAAAAACAATAACAAAATTTAAAGTAGAATACGTGAGTAATACTACTACTATTACTGATAATACGGTAGGAAAGGAGACATTATGTATACTATAATTATCTTCGGACCTTTTATTCGTATTTGTATTATTTATAATTTTTCGATAAATGTTACATTTTTAATAAACTAAAGTTATATCATATCTATTTTTACGATCTTCATTTATTTTACATATCTAAATCTTATTAAAGCTAATCTTTCGTATTTCTATACATGAATTTAAAAATTTAAAACCTAACTAAACAATGTGATTTCTTCAGCAAATGAATGATATTAGACGTGTCTTAGCATAAGTAGCGGAGCATAAGGTGATTCCGCCACTATCCACCTTTTAACGCATTTCATTTTCATCATTATCACTGTGTCTTTCGTTCCACCATTACTTCATCTCTATTTTCCATACTATTTGTTTAGATTATAGAATATATAAATATTTTTAAGATAACGAACAAAAAAAAAACTTAATTACCTTTTTTTTAAAAAAATTCATTGTAAATATTTTTCTTCATTTTAGAGGATTGAAATTTAAAATAAATATTCTAACAAAAATCATGGGATTATTAAATAATATATACTATATATATAGGAAAATTGATTTATCTATGCATATCATAATTTTTCAACAAAAAGTGTCCTATTTTTGCTGCTATATCAAGAAATAATTTCTGAATCAAGATATATAATCTACTATCATTATCTACTACTTGATTGATAATTTATTCTTTTTAAAAATGTGTTAGATTATTTTCCTTAGATAAAAATAGTTTTGACACTTTAAAATAAAATAACAACAATAAATTAATGTGATACAGTAAATAAAATTTGATGACGCAAAAAATATATATGATTTTATTTCAATCTTTATAAAATTAAGAGATTGTTTCAGATAAATTCTAAGCTAATATAAAAAAAAAGCTAACGTGGGCCAATAAAGACATGTTCAGACATTTGATAGTCAATAAAGTATATAAATATTAGTAATTTATGATAAATTATGAGAAAATTGATGCATTATTTTGTGGGAAATTGATATGCATGTTTTAGTTATTCATCTATGTATTACTTATTTTGTGTTTTTTCATGCATAAAATTATACATAAATTCCCTAATAACTTATATATGTACTATTTCTGTAGATTTTCAAATTGTAGCTCACACATCATAGCAATAATCCTAACTAACTATCAAATATGATATTACTTATACGGTACCTAATATATAAAAATGAATTTCATAACCAACTACCAAATGATTTGCGCACTATTCACACACGTTATTTATGTCATATCAATAAATGAATGATGAGTAAATAATGAATATATTTTCTTTAAAACTTTTCACATTTACTCATGATATTATATATATATATTTTTTATAAATTTCTCAATTTTTGTTTATGTGACAGTATTATTTTTAATTAATCATAATTTTTTATAATCATACAAATATTATAATGTATAATATATTTAAGATCATTAAATATAGATATCGTTTAATTACAATTTTCTTTATTTTTGATCATACAAAAATATTATTTTTAGCCAAACGCAATCTTTTATAGTTATATACACATTATATAACTTATAATTTATATAAAATCATAAAAATTAAAAATCTTATAATCACGTAAATATTATAAAAATATTTCAAAACACAAATCTTAAAGTTCCCTTTTTCTTCCTATGATTTTTCATCAAATACATAGGTATATCTATCAAAACAAAGAGATATATAGTTCTATTCCATTTATTATTAATCAAAACCTATACCTCATATAGTTTGGAGTAAATTTTGAAGGGGCGACACCTTGTTTGGATGGTAATTTTTCAATAATAACATATATTAATAATAACATATATTGTATTGTTAATTTAAGTACTGTTATTACTTTAATATAGATATAATAATTTGATATTTTGGTTGTTATATAAATTTTATTATATCATATTATTAAAATTCATCGTTAAGTAGTAACAAAAAAAATTCATTATATATAACAATTGGCTTAGTGTAATTGTATCATTACTTAATATTTTCTTCTCATTTTATAATTACATATTATTGAATAGTCACATTAAAGATAGTAGTTCTATCACATGATTCTTTTAGGTATATCATCCAAATCGTAGATATGACATATTATGTAACAATATAGTTTATTCAAACATTATATATGTAACTTAGGTTACATTAGCATTTCCACGTGGCAGACTATGAAACAATACAATACGATATATTATGAAACAACATGTAATCGCAGTAAAACTTAGGTCACATTAGCATATCCACGTGGCAGACTATGACAACCTGTACTTTCCTAAATCTTTATGGTACGTCAGTGAAAAATAACCATGGTCTTTCTGTAATTTCCCATCAATTATATGCCTATTTTCGTTATTCATAAAAGCAAAAACCATTATTAATTACTGAACTTTTCCCAAATAATATTTAATCCAAACCGTCCATTCCAGCCAGCATTTAATCTCAACCGTCTATATGTTTCAGTTAAAGCCAATCTGCACCGTCAATAAAATATAAACGGTTAGGATCTTGCCACGTTTTGTTATTATGTCATTATATTTTCTCTACCAAAAAAGCTAATCGTCCACCGTTAAAAAAGTCATCAACGGTGATAAATAGGGACACGTGGCAACATTTATTAAAAATATAATTAAAAAGGGCTCAGATTTTCTGTCTAAAAATTGTAAAAGCCAAAAGGAGCCCTAGAGGCTTTTATTTCTAAAAACATTTGGTATTTTTTTGTTAGGGTTAAAAAAAAAAAATTGGTACTTATTATTTTAGAAAAATTTATTATTTTAAAAAGATAAAAATCAGTTAGGGTTTCAAATCGGACCAAATCAACAATCCCTCAATTTCTCTGATCGGAGCCCTAGAATTCATCCTCTTGCATGTGATGGATCTTCGTCATTTTCGATAATTCCGAGGTAAAGGTACGTGAATTTATTGATTTTGATGTAATCAATTGAGTTGAGAGGAAATGATGCATACAGTTTTTGTGTTTTTTGTTTAATTTGAAGGGGGTTTTGTGTTTGATTTAGTATTTTGTTGTGGAATTGTGGTTAACAGATCTGGAAGCATGTGTTTGTGTGTGAAAATGATGTGTGATGGGATATGAAATTTGGGGAAGTGGTTGTTTTATTGGGATTAAGTGATTACTGTAGATGGAAAGTGGTGTAGAAGAGAAATCTGGTGGTAGTTCTATAGAGAATTCGAAGAAACAAAGGTCTTTGGATTTACAGACACTATATAAGTCTGGGGATTTGAAGAAGGGGAAGGTTTCTGTTGGAGAGAGTGATGTTGATGCTAGGCAGAAGAAGAAAAAAAAGAAGAGGAAGAGTATAAAAGAGGTGTCATTGGACAAGCTTGAGCCATCTGGTAAAAAGAGTAGGAGTAGTAAGGATGAGGATCATGTGAATGGGGATAGTGTGGGACCAGCTGAATCGCTGTTATCATCATCAAAGTTGGAGAAAGGATTGGATTACAGCAATCGGCTGAGTGGATTTTCTCTTAAGTTACATATTAATGGTAATGCTATTCCAAGGCGACCACGTGGTTTTGTGGGGAGAAGTAAGTTTAAAAATGGTCGAGCTTCGCAGTTATCGAGGGTTCAGACTTCTGTCATTGGAAATGTGAAGATAGAAGGTGAACTTGACAAAACTGAGGGTGATCAGCTTCCAAAAAAGTGTGCTTTGTCTGGCGGAGAAGCTAAAAGTGATGAACGGACTTCTAAATTACCTAGTCATTCAGCTGGCAATGGTGTTACTGTCAAGGAAAAGAGAAAGAGAAGTGTTGACGATTCCCGAGTAAAGAAAAAAGATAAGGTAAGTTCAAGTCGGCATGCTAAAGAAGATGGTCATGTAGCTGTAAATAATGGTGAAACATCTTCTGGAAAGCACCTGAGTACTCGTAACAAGAGAAAGGATTCGTCATCTAGGAGTAGAAAATCTGTAAAGAATGATGTATCATCTGGAGATAATTTAGGAAGCTTTCGTCAAGGTTCTCTGATTGATGATGATGAGGTGAACCTTGAGCAGAATGCGTGCATGATGCTGTCGTCGAGATTTGACCCTAGTTGTACAGGGTTTTCTTCAAAAAACAGATCTTCAGCATCGCAATCTGCTGAACGTTTAACTCCTTTACTCACTTCTGGTCAGGATTTTGTTAGTCGGGAGGGGAATTCCTTGACTGGATCCGAATATTTATCTGTTGATACTGCTAGCAGAGTTCTACGACCAAGACAGAAGCTCAAAGAAAGGGGTATTTCTAGGAAACGGCGTCATTTCTATGAAGTTCTTCCTAGGGACTTGGATGCTTACTGGCTATTGAACCGAAGGATTAAAGTCTTCTGGCCATTGGATGAGAGTTGGTATTATGGTCTTTTGAATGATTACGATCCAGAGAGGAAACTCCATCATGTTAAATATGATGATCGAGATGAGGAATGGATAAACCTAGAAAGTGAGAGGTTTAAACTTTTGCTTTTCCCTGGGGAGGTACCGGGAAAAAGGAGAGTCAGAAAATCTGCAAATGCTACAGAAAGCATTGACGAAAGAAAACTTGACTTGGTGGTAGATGGTGACAGCCACCAAGGTAACTGTCCGGACTCTGAGCCCATTATATCTTGGTTGGCTCGATCATCTCGTCGAGTAAAGTCTTCTCCTTCCAGGCCATTGAAGAAACAGAAAACATTACAGTTATCTACACCTGTTGTGTCATCACCGCTGCATGTCAAAACTGACGGCACAAGCTGGAATTTAGGTTCCTCGAACAGCTGTATAGGCAGGACAGATAATGATGTTCTATTGCCAGAGAAACTGATTGATCATAGCATGGCTGAGAATTCTTTTGTCGAAAGTCATAGTAGCCCCAATGATGGAAAACCTGTTGTTTATGTTCGAAAACGTTTCCGTAAGATGGATGGGCTTCCTGTGTATGAAGCTGACAAAGCTTATGTAGCTAATATACCTACTGTTTCTGTTGCACCAGTTGTGGATGAATTACGGAACTACAAATCCAGTGTTATGTGCATCCCTGGCTCTCAGAGCGAGAAGTTCCCATCTGCAATTGATGATGAAGGGGTGCTAAGGTTACACAGGCCATTGCTAGAAGCTAAGCAATTCAGGGTGGAAATATGCCTACCCGTTTTGCCTTTGTTGCTGCTTGAAGCAGAACAGAATTGGTTATCTCGCTCTGTTTTGCTACTGCAGCATGGTGCCATTATGATAAGGTGGCCAACATTTTTTTTAGAGATGCTTTTTGTTGATAATGTAGTCGGACTCAGGTTTCTTTTATTTGAGTGTTGCCTCAACCATGCCGTGGCCTTTATTTTCTTTGTCCTAACATTATTCAATCAAGCTGATGAAGAGTGGAGGTATGAAAGTCTTCAGTTACCTGTAACTTCAGTAAGGTTTAGGCTGTCTTCTATTCAGGATTCTAGGAAGCAGCAATCTTTTGCATTTTCCTGTTTCTCCAAACTCAAAAATTCAAAATGGTTATACCTGGACTCCAAGCTTCAGAAACGTAGTTTGCATGCTAGGCAGCTGCCTCTGTCTGAGTGCTCATATGAGAATATCAAGTCCCTCAATTGCAGGAGTGACCAATTGCAGTTCAACGCTCATGCAGACCCTTCCTCATTTAAGGTATTTTCTAATGTGATCTGTATGGTAGCTATATCTTTTTTTTCTTCTCTGATCTTTGTCTTATTAAGGTACTTAGTGTTCTTAATTCTATAGAATATTGGTAGGATTGTATGATATTTCTCCTTGTTCTTCTTTCTGCTGTTCTTTATTTTTTCCCTTCCATCTTTCTAGATTTAACTATTTTGTTCTTTACATCCATATTTTGTTTACTTGCAGAAGAAGTTTGTGCCAGGTTATCTCCCCAAAGGCACCTCGACAGAGTGTTGCAGTGCAAGGTTTACTAGTTCTACTCTTAGTTCTGCAACTAAGCTTGGAAGAGTTCCTCCTTTTGCTCTTTCATTTGCTGCTGCACCCACTTTCTTCATATGTCTACATCTTAGGTTACTCATGGAACAACACAACTTTGCTTGTGTTAGCCTTCAGGAGAGTTCTATAAATGCTTGCCAGCCAGTTAAAAGTGATGGCAGCCGGGTGAAGTGCTCTGAGATCGCTGGCTCTGAGATTGCTGGCTCTGAGGATATTTCAGAAACTTCATTTACTGGAGCTAGTTCTGCTGGAGGGTCATCATTTGCTGAACGGCAGCTGGGAAGTTTGGCATGTAAACAACAGCTGGGGAGTATGCGCGTTCCATTGAAGTCATCTCAAAATTGTCAATTAGATGTTTCCGGGAGCTCTTTCACCGCCAAACTTTCTGAATTGGACACGTCTGATGTGACTGTTGTGTCAAACAATTTGGAATCTGATGATCAAGTATTGGACCAGTTTGTTGGATCTCCAGGGAGAAGACATTCTAAGAATTTATCTCACCGCTTGTCTAATGCTCGGCGCCATTCTGGTTTGGTGGGGATGAGTGTTGTAATTCCATCATCTGACCAAGTTGAGGGACTATCTGATGGAAAAGAAATTATCGTGGGAGAGGAGTCTCATTTGAGTCTGAATACAGGCAATGACCTGATTTCCAGCCCAAACCATACCGTTACAAGTGATGTGGTACGGAGCTCTAATATTACTGGAACGGGTGATCGCATGGTCCAGAGTCCCAACCCTTCAGGCCCAGGAGGTTTGCCACATCGTAACAGAAACAACTCTAGTTCTTCTCCTTTTGGAAAGATTTCACCTGTATGGGTTGATGGCAAGGCCAACTTTACAGGGGGTGGATTTGGCAATGGCCCAAAGAGACCTCGAACGCAGGTGCAGTACACACTGTCATATGGAGGTTATGACTTCAGTTCAATGCACAAAAATCACAGCCCACGAACTCTTCCTTATAAAAGAATTAGAAGAGCTAGTGAGAAGAAGAACGCAGATAGTTGTGGTGGTTCACAGAGAAATATTGAGTTACTAGCTTGCAATGCAAATGTGTTGGTTACTCTTGGGGGGGTCAAAGGGTGGAGAGAATTTGGTGCACGTATAGTCCTGGAAATTGCTGGTCACAATGAATGGAAAATTGCTGTCAAATTTTCTGGGGCTACCAAGTATTCATATAAAGTTCATAATGTTTTGCAGCCTGGCTCTACCAATCGCTTTACGCATGCCATGATGTGGAAAGGGGGGAAGGATTGGGTCCTGGAGTTCCCTGACAGAAGCCAGTGGATGTTGTTCAAGGAGTTGCATGAAGAGTGTTATAACAGGAATATACGTGCTGCCTCAGTTAAAAACATCCCTATTCCCGGTGTTCGTTTGATAGAAGAAATCGAAGATTATGCATCCGAAGTCTCCTTCATTCGCTCTTCACCGAAGTACTATCGACAGACAGAAAGTGATGTTGAAATGGCCATGGATCCGTCACGTATATTGTATGACATGGATAGTGAGGATGAGCAGTGGTTATCCAAGAATAACTTTTCTTGCTTTGGTGAGAGTAAACATGAAGAGATATCTGATGAATTCTTTGAGAAGGCCATGGACATGTTTGAGAAAGTTGCATATGCGCGACATTGTGATCACTTTGCGCCTGATGAGCTGGAAGAGCTGACGGTTGGTGTAGGGCCAATGGAAGTAGTTAAATCCATTCATGAGCATTGGCAGAATAAGCGGCAGAAGAATGGCATGGCTTTAGTACGCCATCTCCAGGTATGATTACATTGAAATTGACTACTTTAAATTACTTAACAGACTAGTGTCAGCATGCTCCTGTGTCAGTACACCTATAGGCTGTTATTAGCTGCTGAAAAAATGTATTTGACAAGTGCCAAATTGTTTGACTGGCAGTCTTGTCATAAACTTAAAATATTTCTTTTCTCAACAAGCTTACATTTAAACAAACTTTTAAGGGGTTAGAATCCATTATCTTTGGCCTTGGAATCTATTACTTGTGGGATTTGACCAAGTTTGGTAGTTTTTCCCCCTGCAAACGGAGAAGGGACAAAATTGTTTATGTGATAACTTACTTAACAAAAGAACTGTTCATACAATATTTCTTTGACTTTTGCTTCTTTCTTCCTTTTCAGTAATCTGGCACCCCTATGGTGCCTGGACCAAAACTATTAAAATTGTAATGCTTTTTGTTTGTTCCACAAGATGGTCCGCTTCAGTTCATAGTACTCGAGTATCTATTTGTAGAGCAATATATTTTACTTTTAAGTGGGCATCACGTTATGCCCAACAGTTTGACTTGGTTAATATGGACAATGTTTTCCTTCCCATTTTCTTTGCATGCCACCTTAACGGAGTCTGTATTGCATCACTTTGTATCATCCATTGACCTCCATATAATTTTTTTTTTTGAGAAGGTAACGATTTGTATTTCTATTTCCAAAAAATCAAAACCTGCCACAACATATAATTAAGAAACATTGTCCATATTAATAATTGGTCTTCAGTGTAAAAGACGATGCATAACTGATTCTGTAGTTTTTTCACGGACGTAGCACCTGCTGTCTATATCTCATCCTTTGTAAAATTAGGACGTGCCTTGGTTTTCCATGTCTATTTTCCATGACAAGTTCTTCTATGTCGTAGCTTGACTAGGATCTTATAACATGATTTACCTGTAAAGACTCCACTTTTACTGCCTGTCCAGTGTCTAGAATTACTTAAATTTGCCCTTTCAATTACCCAAGAGTGTGGCCTAGTGGTCAATGAAGTGGGTTGAGCACCACCGTGAGGTCACAGGTTCAATTCCCAGAGACAAAACAGTAGGTGAATTCTTTTTTGATGATAAGGGAAACCTGCAGCGGCTACCCTTTAGGTACGCACATGGTAAAACCCCTGCACCGACGGAATAGCTCGCAAACCACACAGAAGAGATAACCCGTGGAATTAGTTGGTATGCCTTCATGAGATTCCCCATTAAAAGAACTTCTGAAGATTCCATTCTGTATTGTTAAGACAGTCTTCCACAGTGCAGTGTTATCAGCTATCAGACTCAAAAAGTTATGAAAACATATATCTTGAACCCATCTTGTGAAGGCAAGAGCCAGCCTAAGTTTGTGTGCAATTAAGATGTGCCTTGATGAGATTTAATCTTTAAAGATGTTCCATTTTCAGACATGGGCCGTTTGATGGTTGAGAGATGAGATACCATGCCCTGTCTGTTTGTCACTTTAGAACTTCATGTGTGTCCCAATTTTATAAAGGAGAACTGTAAAAGAATTGTGCTGTTGTCTTTACTGTGCTTTTAATTGTCCTGGCTAGCTTTTGCTGCCTTGAAGTGATAAAAAAAGGCACCCCTTTGATTTTTTTATGTGAATGTTGTGTTTACTTGTAAGCTATTGATCTTGCTTTATCATATTCCGATATTATTTGCCTTCAGTTATCTGATGGTGATGATGTTGCCTGTTTAAGCATCAACTTTTTGCATGTCACAGTCAATGAGCTATTGAGACAATATAATTTAGTTTGTTTCATCCATCTAGGAGGAATTGTCTTGGATTAGTGGAATGCAAAATATACTTGAAAAAGATAGAATGCAAAATATGCTCACCAGAAAATGGAAGCAAAGGATACCTTGATACTTTATGATCTAACTGGTTTTGGTTGACTCACTTTTCTTTTGGTAAACTGGGGATCCTGGGTGTGCATTAACTTTTTTCTGAGAGAGTACACTTTTATGCCACCATGACTCCTCATTTTCATTGATTCATCCATAAAGGAGTATAACAATGCATGGAACCTTGCATGGTCCTTAAAGTAAGCTATTAGCTTGCTAAAACCCGAGCCATACCCTTTTTTATGGCTTGTTGATTACCTGAACTTTATTTTCCTTGACATACTCATGATGAAAGGTATAGCATGATATAGGGGACCTTATGTGGTTTTATAGATTCCATGGTATGATGAATATTTTGCTGGACACTGCAACAATATTTATGATTGATACCCTTTCATTATGTCTTGTCTTCATGTGAACTGTCAATTTTAGATTAATATCCTTCATGTGTCTTGTCTCTCTACTGATCATATTTTTATTTTTTTTGATGATTGTTAATTCTCCTCATATTTCTTAAAAGCCTTCATGATTATGTTTTCTGTTGTATTCCATGTTTTTTCTGTTTTCTGTTGGATTTTTTGATTGTTAATCCTCTTTTCTTCAGCCACCCCTTTGGGAGAGGTATCAGCAGCAACTGAAGGAATGGGAACAAGCAATGTCAAATGCGAGTTTTGGCTTTGCTAGCGGATGCCAGGATAAAGCAGCTTCCATGGAGAAACCACCTATGTCTGCATTTTGTTTGAAGCCTCGAGGTCTGGAGGTTCCAAACAAGGGCTCAAAACAACGATCACAGAGAAAAATCTCAGTTTCAGGACACAATCATGTTGTCTCAAGAGATCAAGACGGTCTTCATCCCTTTGGTACTTCTCTAGCCAACTTGCTATCATCCTTGCCCTTTAGTTTGAAAGAGTTCATTATTTTTCTTACTGTTGCTTAACTACTTTATACTTTATATTGATTTTTTAAAAATTTGTCATTTTTCTTCGTAGGGAGAAGATCAAATGGATATTCACATGGAGATGAGATGTTCATGTATCCAAACCATGAATATTCAGATGGTTCTCCTATGCTTCATGCATCACCCCGAGTTTTTTCACCACGAGAAGCTTCTGGGTTTGGATATTTTTCCTTGAACTCAGATGTGTCTGATTGGAATCAACCCAAATTTTATAGGAACAAACCAAAGAAGATTGGGTCGTTTCACTCTCACAGTAATCAGCATATGGTGGCTTCCAATGATCAGAGAACTATTGTGAAGCGAAATGGGGTTCATAGGTGGAATATGAGCTTACCTGGGAGGTCTAATAAGAAGCATTACCGTCATGAAGGATCTCGTGGGTCAGCCATTGAGCAATTTGACAGTTCAGATCTTCATGAGTTCAGGTTGCGTGACGCCTCCGGAGCAGCACAGCATGCTCTTAACGTGGCAAAGCTGAAGAGGGAGAAGGCCCAAAGGTTACTCTATAGAGCTGATCTAGCCATCCATAAAGCTGTTGTCGCTCTCATGACTGCTGAGGCAATCAAAGCTGCTGCTCTGAGCGCAAATGGTGATGGTTAGGTTGTGACTTGTGTCTGAGTATGGTGATTACCACCAAATCAAGTTCCTGATCCCTACGAATCAAAGCTTTGGGAGGTACTGATTGTGCTCGTATAGGATCCATTATTGTTGATAGCATTTAGTAGGGTTTTCAAAATAGGTTGCTGGAAAATTCTTGTAGCAGAGTCTTTACTTTTTGCCTAGGTCATGATTTTATGTACTTCAATTATACATAGTCTCATAGTCTTCAGGCAATTTCAGTACATAGCTTTTTAGCCTTTCGTTGCTCGCTAGTGTTCCGGGGGAAGCAGGTTTTCCAGTTCATTGTAACTGAAGGGCTCTTGCCTGTGAAGGGGGTGCATGAAATTTTGCTATGCTCATCGATCATTGTACAGATTTTTATCCATGTTTACCCCCCCTTCTTTTAGCTCTCTATTGACCTACCTACTTACCCTTAGCATAGTGCAATTGCCCAGAAATAATGTAATACATCTCTTGAAAAGTAAATTACATATTTTTGTTTGGGCTATATTTGCATTGAAGTAGAGCACCTTATTTGTTGGAAAAATAGATCAAGTATAGTGTCTGCCCATTAAATGATTTCGAATTTTGTTGTGAGTGTTTGCTTTTGCTTTATTTAATTCATTGTCGCTAAAAATTATTTTTGGTGTCGTAACACTACTGATGATCTGATAGAATATATTAAGAGCAGATGATGTGTCCTTAGAAGGCATTATGAGCCCATAACGATTTTAACTTAAAACTAACTGGTTATAAACATTTTTTTGAAGTTACCTCCAACACCCAAAAAGCGCACGAAGGTTTTATATTTTCTAAAAGATACCTCATGAATTCTATATGCTCTTAAATTAACTTATTTTAAGTCAAAACAATTTTTAAGCACTTTTGAAGAGTTGGAATGACTTAAAAAGTACTTACCAAAATGCATTTATTTACCAAAAGTATAGGTGTACATGACCGGGTTGGTTCGGATTCTTCAAATGTCAAATCAAACCATTTTGCCGGCAGAAAGAATAGTCACTTACATTAGCGAGAAGCAGTACTGAACCGGAGCCACATAGAGTTAGTTTCCCTGAAAGTCTTCTTCCGAACTTGTCAACAAGTATGTGTTGGATTTTTGAATTTATAAACCAAATCAAACTAATAAAATTCGAGTTTTTCAACTTCGGATTTTTTTCGATAAAGTATTCGTACGAATATATATTTTACTTAAACTTCAAATATTTCTTTACTTACCAAAATGTAACTATCTAAGTTATTTCTCAAGAAAATAACAAAAAATATAATATGATTAATGACACTAAAATATCCAACAAAAAAATAATAATAAAATCGCGTAAAACAAATATTGCAAATTAATAAGTCATAATGAAATTGGTCATAATTTAAAGTACTAAATCATGCTAAAATAAGTTAAGTAAGTATTAGTTACATGAATAAATATTAAAAGAAAGTAAAATTAGATCATGTATTTTAATTGTCTAAATCTATGTAAAACTAAAAAACAAATATTCAATATTATTGTCATTTTTAGTGTTGTATTTATTTTCCTTTTATTTAATCTTTATTATAATTACCAACATGCATGGACTATAATCTTTATCAGATCATTAAGAATTCTAACTTTCAAACATTAAATAAATATATTAAAAGACAAATACTATGTAAAAGTATAAGAGATATTTAAAAATTATATCAAAGTAAAGTATTTTTACGTATAAAATAAAATTTTAAAATTATATATATAATGTCGGGTTGGTTTGATCTCGGGTTGTTTTATTTTAGTTGAAACCAAACCAACTCAAATATAGTCGGACTTTTTTTTCCAACACCAAATTAAGTCAAACAAAATCACTAGTCGACTTTTCTTTTCAATTTGGCTCAATTTGCAAGTTGATTTGATTTTCAATTCGATATTGCAACCCCTCACAAACACTTTGTTTTGAGCTAAAATGAGTAAAAATAAACCAGCTGATAATCCCCTCACAATATTCTCAGACACATCACATCATCTACTCTTAATATATTTTTAATCAAAATCATATTCGAGGGAGGCTACTTCCACTAGTGTGTGTGTGTGTGTTTGCAACTAAAAAATCCAAATGCTACACACAAACTTTGAACTCAAATTGAGACAAAACTTGATGCATTTTATAAAAATATCAAGCAAAAGCAACCACCCCATAAGAAACATTTGAAATTACTTCGAACTTCATTAACAAATAAAGGTGCTAACGCTTATTATTGCTCAAACTAAAATTTGTGATTTGCTTTTTCAAGATATGTATTATATTATTTCGAGCAATTGCTCCATCAACATTATTAAACACTATGCTAAGGGTACGTATATAAGTCTATCAATAAAGACAAATAAGGTGCTATCACTTCTTAGCCCAAATACGTTTCTCAAACTATTAAGTGTAAAAATCTCACATCTAGGATAGGAGAAATTAAGAATTGTATTGATAAAAAATAATGTTGAGTTACAAGCTACGAGAAAATTGTAGAATCGTAACTTAACTATACTTAAAGTCAAACTATGATACCTATTACATCTATAATAATAATAATAATAATAATAATAATAATAATAATAATATAATTATAAATAATACAGTTTGTCGCCCCCTAACTTACCTAATAAGCTAGTCTTATTATCAACATTTGTCTCAATCATATTTTATTTTATATTTGGCCCTTTTTCACTAGAATGAACCTATTTTTACATTCCTATTAATATTCCTCACAAAATCTAGTTTTACATCATCCAGCGATGTTTAAAAGGAATAAATTATGGGTGATTCAATGATTCAATAGAAAAATGGTGTATTAAGGTACCTAAGGGGGGAAATCCAACAAATTTAGGGATCTTTTTATGAGTTCGGCCTTGTACAAAATTGATACTGGATACATAAAATTAATATTGAATAGAGTAGATGAAATTGATAATGAATACCGATAAAATGATTAACATAGATATATGAAATTCTAAAGAACAACTTTCACATATAGCAAATACAAAATTCATGTTTGTATGCTATAACAAAGTTTACATAATTGTGCTCCATAGCAAACATAAATATGTATAATTCTCTATACATATACAAAGAAACCAATTGTATAATTTGCTATACATATACAAAAGAAAGCAGTTGTACACTAATCAATTGTATAATTTGCGTATTTATAAAATGAGAAAGCGAGAAAGACAAAAGAAAATTGGACAGGAAAATATTTGTATTGTATGGTTATAAGTGTATCGGACGAAGATATATGTATTTGTAAGTGTATATACAATTTTATCTCGCTTTATACAAACAGAATCAAAATGTAATTTATATATTTCGTTTCTGTTTGTATAAACGAGCGAGATCTGGAGAGGGGAACGAAAATATATGTATACATATATAATTTTTTCTCCCTTTATACAAACACGAATGCATTTTATATATTTGTATTTGTATAAAAGTGAGAGGGAGCGAGCAGAGATGGAACAAGAAAGGGAGAGTGACGAGCAAGAGTTTGAGGAAGAGATGTGACTAGCAAACAGTTTGCAACAGCGGACAATTAAATCAAAGTATGATTATGACATTTAATTTGATTTATTAATTTGTCATTATACACAATTTTCCTGATCGTAAAATACGTGCATACATATATACTATAAAAAATTATAGATACAAAGAGTCATTGTGAATCATAAATACCATGATTTGACTTTTTCAAAGACATAAGTCATAATATATGAATTTATTATTTACAAGTGGAATTGATTTTTTTTAAAATAACATAAAATACAATTTTTTTAACTATGAAACAACCAATCAGATTGATATTACTGAAAAAAAACTATATAACTAAAATAAGCAAACTCTTCAAAAAAATTCATTATAATTGGAGTGTAATTGGAGTGAATCATTTTTCAGATTGATTTTTCCTTCTGTTTAATGCCCTCTCTCGTGTAATTGGAGTGAATCATTTTTCAATGGAGATTTGGAAAAGAAGGAATAAAGTAGGTTAACTAAATTGTTCAATGTCATTTTTCAGAAAGCAAAGATACTAAATTTTTAATGTGGAGATGGGGTTACTTCAAGGGTCAACTCTTAGTCCATTTTTATTTACTTTGGTGATGGATGTATTGATGCGAGACATTCGATATGAGGTGCCACAGTGTATGTTATTTGTGGATTATATAGTTTTGATTGATAAGACACGCAATGGAGTCAATGCTAAGTTATAATTATGGAGACAAACTTTAGAGACTAAAGATTTCAGGTTAAGTAGACTAAGACAGAATATGTGGAGTACAAATTCAATGATGCGATGCATTTAATATACGTGAAAGTGAGACTTGCAAGAGAGGTAAGTTCAAGTATCTTGAGTCTACATTCTAATGGAGTGAAACTATTGACAATGATACAACACACCATAGTGATGCGACGTGGATGATGTGGAGGCTGGCCTCTTGAGTCTTGTATGATAAAAAGGTACTATCAAAACTCAAAGGTAGGTTTTATAGAGTGACTGTTAGACCAAATTTGTTTTATGAGACTAATTAAGTGTTGAAAAGTCAAGAAATTTCATGTACAGAAAATGCATGTTGTGGAGATGAGAAAGTTGAGGTGGATGTGTGGTCATACTAAGAGTTATAAAATTAAAATTGAGGATATCCAGAATAAGGATGGTGTGACCTCTGTGGTTGATAAAATGAGAAAATTGAGATTGAGATGACTTGAACATGTGAAGAGGAGACGCATAGACACACTAGTAAGAAGGTATACGAGTTGGTTATAGAGGGTAGGAAAAGAGAAAGAGATGGGCCAAAGAAGTTTAGGGAGTGATGATACGACATAATATGACACAACTTCAGATTACCGAGTACATAAGTGTGGAAGTATCATATAAGGATAGAAGGGCAATAGGTATTATAATGTTGTCTTGCTTATACACGACCCTTGTTTATTATTATTTCTTAGTAATACTCTACCTTAACACGTTATTTTATGACATTTGATTATAGCATTATTTTATTATTATTTGACTACTTTTACACTGTTTCTTATTTTAATTTCTCTTTAGTGTGTTTGGTTGGAAAGAGAATATCTTTAATATTTTATTTTCCATTTTTTTAAATTTTCAATTGATTCAATATATCGATAAACATTTGATCTAAAAAATGAAGTTTGTCAAAAATAAAAAAAAATGACATGCCTAATAAAAGTAGGAAAATCAGTGTCCACATCCCATCTTTATTCTCGTACCATAATTTTTGGCGAATTCAAAATTAAAATTCGAAGAATACAATCTTTAAAAATTCTTAATATTGAACTCATTAAATTTTTTTTAAATTTATGTCTATTATTTATTATAGTTTTAATAAATTTCTACTCCGCGTCAAAGTAATGGTGCTTATATGTTGAAAATAAACATTCACCCAACAGAAAAAACTGCCAAAAATCCCTCTACACCTCTCCCTCCCACCCCACCCCCACCCCACTCTCAATCCAA